CAGATCCCCCCACTCACAAAAAAAAAACCAGACATTTTCTGTTTTATGTGAGCATTTTATTTCTTTTTTTTGGGGGGGGGGAGGCGTTTTCAAGACAGGGGTTCTCTGTGTAGTCCTGGCTGTCCTGGAACTCACTCTGTAGACCAGGCTGGCCTCGAACTCAGAAATCCACTTGTCTCTGCCTCCCAAAAAGTGTGTCACCACGGCCCGGCCGTGACCATTGTATTAGATCATGAAGTAAACTCAGCATCTGCTATAATAAATCATTTTCAGTTATGCATTTAATTTGTTTCTCTGACTACAAAAATTTTGTTACCTAAGTCACAAAATACCTTTCACATAGGACCAACTTTTGATTTCCCATTTTTATTTTCTTTTGGTAGCTCATGTATAAATCTAACATAATGAAAATCATAGTAGAACAATTTTTTATTCACGTTGACACCTATTAACAACCTAAGCTGCCAACATGAAAGTATAAAGCGTCATTCTGAGTCCCATACTTCAAATATAGTATTCTAACACATTATAACTTGATGCCAAAGAACAGTGCTTTAATAGCTAAGACCTCTGTTCCACATCAGAGAATGTCTTGTTTTCTGAAAAATAGATGTCTAAGGATGAAAATAACTGTAGTAACTGAGAACAAGTAAACAAATTTTGTCCCCTGGGAGAAGGAAAAGATTTACCCCCTCTGGCTTTAAAAGACTAAGTTTCAGTTCCCCAGCATGGGCATTTTGTTGTTCCCACTAGAACAGACTGTACATAGTTGTCTTATGTGTTCATTTGGAACTCAATCACTTTAATCGGCTTACATTAAATCTCCCTCCTTATAGTAATAGGTAAGTCGCAATGAATCATGATTTGGACCCATTGTGATACTACCAGAATGCCGGGAGGTATTATTTTCCCATATTTGCTATTCTACCAACAGAAACTGTGGGCTTAGACAACTAAGAAAAATATTTGGCCCAACCTTCGTTCTGATATAAAAAAAAGTAAATATCCAGGCACATAGATTCAATCCACACAAACATCGTGCACAGAAGCCTAGAGTGATCGTGGAGCAAATTGTTCAAGTGCCATCTTGTGAAAAGTGAGGGGGCTACTAGTGATGACACTGAAATCGGATTTTCTTTTTTTTTAAATTTTAAAGGGATATGTTGTTTTATTTAATACAGTGATTAAGTCTAAACACACACAGCTACCCACTTGACCCCAAGCTAAAGGAAGAGGCATCTATGACACAGCATAAGAATAAGAATATGCTGACAGCAAATCTGTAATAAGATGACAGTTCCTTACTCCTTCTATGGCCTCTGTGTCTTATTCTGGAAGAGACTGTGTGTGAGTGTGAATTGACTGAGTTGTTTATAATCTGGGAATTCTGTGTCTTGAACAGAGAGAGGCCACCTGGATCACTGACCAAGAAGTCTATATCTGTGTTGAACCAATGCTCACAAAGAGTCATGACTTTGAAAGATTTATAAAGCAAATGGGAGCCCCTGAATGACGCCATTCATTCTAATGTACTTTGGTGCATAAGTCATTGTTTACTGCCACCATTTGTTTTTAAGCCACGTCAAGAAATCAGAAGTGTTGCTTGGAAAATATTCAAGTGCATGCATAGATGAACAAAGTTGCTCTTAGAAGACATCAATTATTAAGAAAAATCTCAATGCCAAGTTGGGCTACCAACCCTACAAATTATTGGTTAGAGAGAAACCTGATGTTCCCCCAAACAGTTTACCATTTCTGTTGGTTGTTCACCATAACTAAATGGTAAGATGCTATCCTTGAAGATATTAGATGCTTTTCCCACAGGACATAGAGAAAACAAGTTGGAAATTTGATAAATATTTTTCCTGTCTAGCTTTCCTACTGACTACTGCTAGGGAAAGATTGTCAAATGTTTTAGTCACCCATGGATTCCAGATGCTTCTGTGAAGATAGATCAGGCAAAACTTACTCAATGGTGCAGTGTTAGAATGACTACATGGAGAGGAACCAAACACTTTCTGTTTGGATTTAAGGCTTGCTCACCAAAAGAAGATTTATGTCTGACACTGAAAACCAGATGTCGATATATAGGACGTAAGCAATAGTGGAGAGCTGATGTGATTTTTGTTAAATGGACACAATATGCTTTTCAAATTGGCTTCTAGATATTTATGTTTGTATCCATAAGTTATTATTAGTGAGTAGTGAGATTATATATATATATGTATATGTGTATATACATATACATATACATATATATATATATATATATATATATATATATATATACAAAAAAGAGAAAGAGAGCAAGAGAGAAGAAAAAAGGAGAAGAGAAAGGAGAAACAGAGGAAGAGTAGGGGGAGAAAGATGAGGAGAGGAGGAGGAGAAAGGAGGGGAGAAAAGAAAAAAGAAGGGAGAGGAAGGAAGGAAGGAAGAGGGAGGGAGAAAGAGAGAGAGAGAGAGAGAGAGAGAGAGAGAGAGAGAGAGAGAGAGA